AAAGCTGATGCAATAGTTCAAGCCTAAGTCTCGTCGAAGCCCCCAAACTAAGAGATACAGAATAGAAGTAACTGTTAGACCCACTCAAGATGGCAGAGAGCTTAAGGGACACTTTGACGGCTTGGTTTCACGCAGATCAAGATCTCTTCATAAGAGAGCTCGACCAGCTGGAGTTGATCCATTGAAAAAATGCAATTTTGTTATTGGATGTTACAGAAAACAATGCTGGCGGCGGAAATACGGTCCGAGGAACTGACAAGCTAACTGTGAGACTACTAAAATTATGGTGGACAGTAATTCAGATGCATATGAGAAACATATTCCAAGCTTCTCTAGATCATGGTCGCTTTCCAACAGCGTATCGAGCCGCTGAAGTAGTCCTGCTTCCAAATCTTGGGCGGGATCTATCCACTCCTAATAGTTGGCGACCTATCTCTCTTCTCCCTTGCCAAAGTAAAGTATTAGAACGTAACATAGCCAAAATAATGGCATGATCTATCATTGAGCACCAAGTAGCGCCCCAAAACCTTTTTGGTGCACTACCTGGATGTTCAGCTGTCAACCTTGTCTCATGTGTTATTCATAGCGCCGAGGCAATAATGACGATGGATGTGCATGGAACCTTTGATGTGAGTCTTCACAATTTCCTGATGCATAGAATGCGGGACCAGGGGTGGCCGAAGGTTCTATGCCCTTTTATTGAGTCTCTGCTAACCCGGTTTCATGGATCCGTAAATAGAATTTTAATACTAATCTTAATTCGTGATAAGATGAAGGGGTAGTTAATTAAAACCATCAATTTAATAATAGCTTCCCCTATACAATTAGTCGTGTAAAAAGTCATGTAAGGATATGCAAGAGAGTCATGAAGAGAAGGACAAGAACACAGCCATCAATGCGAAGATATTGGCAAGAATTGATTATGATTAATTCCGGCTGGCAAAGGCTTCTACTCTTGTATATGATAGTTCAGCGTGAGAGAGATTTACTCCTCACGCAACGTCTTCTTTATTTACCCTTTAGAATACATTTGTTCACCCAGCTCTTCTTCGGGAAGACCATATATTCATTGCCCAGTTCTTCATCAGCAAGACCCACGTGTAACATCTACTGCAACAAGTTGCCCATTCATCTCCTCCTAGAGAAGACCTGTCATCCCTTTGACCCAATTATTATCTTCACTTACCACCTAGATCTTCGCTTGGCTATACAACGCACCCCGTGGAACACTGCCAAACCCTCATCCTTGAGACCCGGTGTGGGATTGGTATCCGTCAGTAGGATGGAATAAATTGCGACAAAATCGTCAACTGCGGTATCCCACAAAGCTAACCGCTCTCTCCACTCCTTTTAATCCTATACACTGCCGTTTTAGTTCAAGATAGGAAAGAAAAAATATTCGGATTTGCTGAAGATATTGCCATCCTCCGAATGGGGTGCACTGCCGCCGAAGCTGTCTTATAGACCCAGGGAGAAGTAGGCAGACTCGTTCAGCTAGCAGGAGAGCACAAGATTAACTTCAACTCAACCAAGTTAAAACTCCTGATAATAGGTGGAGGGCTAAGGAGAAAAGTGGACACTCCAGGCTTTACAGTTCAGGAGAAAGGACTCAATTTCTTCCCATCTTTGAGATGACTTGAAGTACGGCTTGACCCCCGGCTGAAATTTAAGCAGTATGTGCAAGAATGGCGCGCTAAACAATAGCTTGCAAACCAGCTTGTGCGTTAGATTAATACTGTTTATCGTGGTGTGGCACAGAGACCAATGATTAAAGCTTTTCACGCCTATATTCTCAGTACGACACCACATGGAGCGGAGGCATAGTGGCCAGGCCTAGCCCATATTGCCACTAGGCGAGACATTAAAGTTGTTATCAGCGTTAGCTGGCATACAGATCTATTGGAAAAAACAATATTAAAGCTAGTTAGAGCATCATTATCTGCTTGGCGCTCAAACCCAAATTTGGCTCTTCGAAGAGAGTCAGGCATCTCATCGGCAGCTATCCTTCTGGAACAGAGACAAATTCGGTCAGCAGCGCGCATTCAACGACTGAACACATGGAACCCTCCAGCACTGAAACCTAGGAAATTACCAAAATATGTTTTAAGGTGCCTCGAAATACAGGCAGGCCAAAAAGCCCGATCTATCCCTGAAGCCCGATCTATCCCTGCTCCAGATAGCTGTCTGACACAGCTCCATAACAGTACTCTAAATGTACCGACCGCTAAATATTCCAGAAAACTCTCATACCCTGAAACCAATCCCACCAGGCTACTATATGATCTCGATAGAAAAAATTAATCGGTTTACGGAAAGATATGGATTGTCAATCTCTTGTCGAAGACTACATCTGCCTTTTCAGATGACTTATCAAGCGGCCCAGTGATATCTGTATGGGAATACCCTGCATATCAAGGAACTAGGCCGATTAAAAGCGGTGATGAAGCGATTGTAGGAGCAGATGTGTACGATGTAGAACTTTTAGGCGCTCAGAGAGCCTTGGAAGCGGCTGTAATATTAGCAGAAGAGTTTTCCATTAGGATACGCCTCGGCAACGGAGGGCAAGACTGAACACCTGTACGCGGTGTCCTCTACGAACCTGGGAGTGAAATATTCTCCCAAAGCCAAGTTCAGTCAAATTTCGCAACATGGAACAAGTTGGCCCACAAGGCAATGGTTCAAATTACTCCATATCAAATTTTCCCTCTCAACGAGTTTGACGCCTACCTAAGCCTCATCAAGTCTACAAGTACGACCTAGTACATCCTCATCCCAATGATCACACCTCTCGTCGACTTTCTCGGGACTCAGCTGGTCGCTAAGTACACGCCCACGCCGATATTTACACCCGCCAAAGGAAGCAAAGCAAGGCACACAAATCTGGGAGATAGTTCTTTGGGATTGACGTGAGAGGGGTCAGGACAAGTTCATAAGATGATGCGAAGGATGGATACAGTCTCGACGGGCGTGTAATTTTGAAATCTGGAAAGGAGTTTTTATAAACTGAGCTCTGTGCGTGCCAAGACTTCGATTGCGAGAGTGCAGGCGACACTTTAAATATGGCCAGGGCTAGATGGTGCAGTGGTACATCGTCTTGGCCGGTCTGCCAAGTAGAGTCTGGATAGCTTGGACACATATCCCACTTGAGACAGTAGATCGCTGGTTCAAATCCAGCAAAACACAACCACTTTTCTCGCGGCGCTGGTACACATGGATAACGAAGGCATACTTAAATAACCAAAGTTTATGAAACGTCCTTTGGTGGATACTCATGGAACATGGTCGACTGTTTGTGTAAGCAAGCATACCTTATAGTGGTATTTGCGAATGAAATCCAGAGTATGAGTGTCTCTAACGTCAAAAGAGTCATCCCACATGTATACATAGCACCGGTCATGTGTCAAAGCTAGATAGCTGAACACACATTAAATGATTTAAAAAAAACGCCTCGATAACTCTGAAGCTGTCCATTCCCTCAAAACAGGCCAAAGCAGGTCGTCTGATGCCACAGTCGACTAATTTATAACTCTGTTGTGATTGAATGGGTTAGTAGAGATACTTTGGATCTCAGGTGTCACTAAATGAGGTCGTGATCTGTACGATCGAACGAAGAAAACAAAGTCTCTTCCAATTCTCTAAAATAATGGAAATACAAGAATCCTATATGATGCGCTCGAGAAGGGTTCATAGTTTAAGGATATTTTATAGGAGTTAACTCAGCGGGTCCAGGACCCGTGACACTAGATCATTCTAGCAATTCTCGAGAACATCAGAGCTGATAAGCTGGCTAAATCAGCTTTGAAGTATCTTCCAACTTTATCAAATGCAATGTTTACTTCAAGGTCACATCAAAGGCAAAGATACACCTTTGCAGCACTTAACTGACACATCAGAGACCGTGGTGAGGCGACTGTTGAATCTTGGTGGCGAGAAAACAGACCTAGTCGGTACAAATACCTGGACTTGTTAATGAAGCGAAAACCTCCGCCAGATCTAGCTCTCCCAAGATTGGAGTATCATTTTCTGATAACGGCTTTGACTAGTCATGGAAACTTCTCCAAGTATTATGAAAGGATTCATCTCGTAGGAATAGACAGTAGGTGCAAATGTGGCCGAGAAAGGCGCGCGTGGCACTTATCAGAATTGCGTATAATGCTGAAATAGCGGTGAAGGACAACAAAAGAAATAGCGCCAAGTGGATGAACACTGTTGGGAGAAAATGGATGGGAAGAATTCTATCGATTTCACACCGTGACGGGATGTTACGGGAAGTAAAGTCTAACTGGAATGACCAAGGTTTTCTAGGATACAAAAATTGTATGCAAGCTATTATGAGAAAGCTAGTTAGGCGCAAGGCGTTGAGTTAGGGCAGTAGAATTTTTCCTTTACATTTTTGGTTTTCATTCATGTAAATTTCTAGCTATATAAAGCTAGCTTCAGTAGTATTTGTGGGTCTTTTGGGAACACCCTTTCGCGTCAAGCCTCTTGGGTATAGGGCTTTACCCTGATACGTTAAATTAGTCAAGTCAAATTTGTTTAATCCTGCGCCTGCCCAGTTATATTTACCCTGCATACTCAGATGAGGCTTACTTGATCCATTCCCAAATTTCTTGGTTCTATGCTGTCAAATTAATATGCTAATCATACCTTGTATCTTTAAAATGAAGCATCAATACGATTTCTACAAGATTCAATCAGGCAAATTTTATCAACAGAATGACTCGTGCGAAATGATTCCAGGCTGACCAGCTGAGAAGAAATAAAATGACAAATCTTCCGTTGTTCAGAATGCATTTCCCACTCATTCCTTTAAAGACTTTTGCAATGGTCTCTACCATTAATATTTAATACTAACCGCCTTTCCCCAACGCTTCTCTCACAAACATTAAGCAGTATTTCCAGGCCCTCAAAGGACAGTATCTTTGGGTACATCACTAACACGCTGTATATGAGCTTGTGGGACTAATTCAGGCTTAAAAGTACCTACCCAAATTACCAAGATGACATGTCTACTCGCTATTCTATTATACACAGGAATAAACTCGGGCGCAAATAATCGTTTGGTCCTTGCTTATAACGATTCCTTTGACTCTTTTTATATGACACATACTCTAAACCCTGATCAGAAATTCCCTGAACCTAGCGAGAACATACCGATATTTAAAACACCGACTACATATCACCAAGCAGGTACATATTTTGCTACATACTGTTCAGTGGATAAGACCCCATCCGACATATATTATGATATAATTCAACAGCTTTCCGAGGAAATGGGGGAACTCCGTAATCCATCCAGCAAAAGAAATGAAAGAGAAGACAGCTGCTTTCAACATATAACAAGAAAAATGGAAGAGAAGAAGAGTTCATTCTTTCAGAAAAGTGGAATTTCTACCAAATATTTAGATAAGAACATATGTCCTGAAAAACTTATTGTCCGACTGGCTTATAATTGGCGAATATATTTGATTCTGGGCAATAAATCACAATCACGTGGCACATCTTCACGTAAGCCTCTGGTAAGACTTGAAAATCCAATTGAGATTGAAAATTACGTCGTAAATGGCGAATTTATCACCGAAGGAAACATGTATAGCAAAACATACTCGCTAGCATGGTTCGAAGACCATCTACACCTTTTTGTGTGGAATTCGAAGGGGAAAAGGTGGGAATTAGAAACCTCTCCTAATAATGTGTCGAACAATGGGAAAATTATCATCAATTTCTTACGAGCTACCAATCCGCAAATAAAAAGTATTATGGAAAACGCGCATGCTACCTTGAAAGAGTTTAGAGATAAAACTCGAGACAAAGTCGCCAGAAAACAGTACGAGCAAAAAAGTACCATTTCCTACTACAATGAGAAATTTCAAAACCATATGTTAGAGATTGAAATGAGCGCTGCAATATCTGCTAAAGGCCGTCTCAGCGAGATGTTTTAAAGCGGGGTAACTAAGTTGTAAAGTTTGCTTACAGATCGGAAAGTCCATCAGTTAGCACTTCAATACGAGGCACGATGCCGACATAAATCACCCAAGACGCAACTTCGAAAAGGTACTTTGTAAAGAAAATGCATGCTTCTAATTCATTACGCAATGGAGCTTATGGTCATGGGGAAAGTCCTCGTGCATGTTAAGGAGATTTTTAGATTTAATAAAAGCTAAGGTTTAGGTTTGTTGGCTACAATACGCCTAATATCGAGAGCCACTTTCATCCCGTTTTCAGTGGTCTTGGATAAGTGGTTGTTTTGATTTATTGTACTACCTGAGTCATCGATCATCTGGCCCATTTTGCTGCCGTTTGACCCAGGCCACACCTTTTACAGTGCTCTAATCCTCTTTGGTCACATTTAAGATTGTTGATATATTACCCTTGATGAATAGCCATGCAGTTTAGTCTTAAGCCGTGGAATTCAGCCATCTTTTCCACGGAACTTTCTACTCAAGAAAAAGGTAGCAGTGGAAACTGCGCGTGACGGGCTAGGAATTTCAAAGAGTTAACGGAAGTAATGCCACTATAAAATATTCGTGTTTTCTGTGAGGAACTCGGGAGCGGGAAGCTAAGGTGCTTTGTAACTGCAATGCCTGCTCCAGATTCCTTAAGTTTTGCACGTGGCCTACCAACACTTCAGTACCCATCGTAGATTTACCCACTATCTTGCGCACACGTAGCAAGGATGGGCCCTAAAGTCATACCGAGCCCAGCGAGAAGCCGGCCGGGCCTAGCCCGCCACACCGCGTGCGCGGAAAAAAAGTCTCAAAAGTCTTGCAGCTCCAGCCAGGCGAGGCATTAACACGGGAGCCACATGAGGCGCGCATATCCATATACAGTGCGGACTCGTTATAAGGATGTCTTCTTCGCGCACGCATCACGTTCTCACATTAAATGTGACAAATCGACGATATTCGATGTATCGATGTCGCCTTCGCCATTTTATTGCTACATCAAATAACTATCACATAATGTAACCACTGCCGTTGGCTGATGCCTGATTATATTTACTGTTGTGCCTAATAAACAAGGCATCAATTACTGTTTCCTAGTTTAATTCCAAGTACATCATGCACTTCCTCATACGACTCAATAGGCCTGGGTGAAGTCTTGACCGGAGGGCAAGACTGAACACCTGTACGCGGTGTCCTCTACGAACCTGAGAGTGAAATATTCTCCCAAAGCCAAGTTCAGTCAAATTTCGCAACATGGAACAAGTTGGCCCACAAGGCAATGATTCAAATTACTCCATATCAAATTTTCCCTCTCAACGAGTTTGACGCCTACCTAAGCCTCATCAAGTCTACAAGTACGACCTAGTACATCCTCATCCCAATGATCACACCTCTCGTCGACTTTCTCTGGACTCAGCTGGTCGCTAAGTACACGCCCTCGCCGATATTTACACCCGACGGGGGACACAAAGTGTGGCGTACAAATCTGGTAGACAGTCCTTTTGGATTGGCGTGAGAGGGATCAAGACAAGTTGATAAGATGATGCGAAGGATGGATACAGTCTCGACGGGCGTGTAATTTTGAAATCTGGAAAGGAGTTTTTACAAACTGAGCTCTGTGCGTGCCAAGACTTCGATTGCGAGAGTGCAGGCGACACTTTAAATATGGCCAAGGCTAGATGGTGCAGTGGTACATCGTCTTGGCCGGTCTGCCAAGTAGAGTCTGGATAGCTTGGACACATATCCCACTTGAGACAGTAGATCGCTGGTTCAAATCCAGCAAAACACAACCACTTTTCTCGCGGCGCTGGTATGCATGGATGACAAAGGCATGCTTGGATAACCAAAGGTTTTGAAATTCCCTTTGGTGAGTACTCACAGAACAGGGTCGACTGTTTGTGTAAGCATGCATACCTCATAGTGGTATTTGCGAATGAAATCCAGAGTATGAGTGTCTATAACTTCAAAATATTCATCCCACATGTATACATAGTACCGTTCATGTGGCATAGCGCTATAGCTGAATACACATTAAATGATTTAAAAAAAAAGAGCGACTATACCGGCACCACTGGAAGGTGAAGAATTCGTCTTTGCCGGCTGAGTTCTGGGGATAAAAATTATGTAAATATTGTGTCATAGCTAGATAGCTGAATACACAATGGTCTTTTTAAATAAAGATCACGGAGGAAGAGCTATCCGGTGAGGCTCCGGAGCGTACCCAGCACCCGATGCGGAGATGGTGGATTGGATCAAGTTGACCTCAACTGTTACAAAGAAGGGAGATATAGATGAATATGCGCTCCTCATGTGGTCCTGGTGTCTAGGCCTCGCCTGGCTTGGGCTACAGGTTTTTTGAGACTTTTTCCCGCGTACGCAGCTTCCATTGCTATCTTTTTATTTTTTATTTTTTATTTTTTTATTTTTTCGGGTAGAAAGTTCCGTGGAGAATGTGGCCGAACTCCACGGGTAAATTGTTGTAATTACGAGGTTAGATGTATAAGAATTGTGGTAGGACAGTATACATATAGAGAAGAATGTGGAATGAATAGTATGGTCGTGGGCGAATGTATTTAGACTATCTGAGGGTGAAATGGATATCTAAAGATGAACACATGATTCACATAAGTAAATGGACCTGATAATATACATGTACGATTTGTTCTACAGCCAATCCCATTGATTGTCTAATGTATTCATATAATGCGCATCGACATTGATGATCCTTCAGCTCCTGATAATGAGCACGACTCATATTTGAGTCTTGCATTAATACGAGCTTGTATAACTAAAGTCATGTTGTTTCATCACTGAGTCTTGCCTATGAAGCCCTTGCTTCCTTGCGCAGACTAGGATCACAACACAAATACTGAGCTGAATGGCTATTCATCACGAGCAATATATCAATGATCTTTCAAGAAACATGAGAGGCAAGGACTACTGTACAAGGAGTGTCCTGGGTCAGGGAGGAGCACAATGTGCTAGATAGTCTATGACTCAAGTAGTACAATAAACACACACACTCAATAATATAAATCGCTCACTCTCCAGACTCGGAATTGTAGTCATGGCCTTCTCAATCGAACAAGTATCTTTCACCATATTCTAGGTGTATAGTAGGTCTTTGAAAAGCTAGCTGATTTTTACCAGATCAGGTGATCCCATAATCTTTGCTATTCACGGCATTTTATCCGCCTCTCAAGAATCTTAATCTCCGAGGTACCATTGCATGTCCTCCAGGAGTTTTAAGCCGCAAAGCTAGAGTCTGTAGTTACAAAACATATTGTTCCCCTTCATAGGTATGCTTTCTGTTGGGCGATTGGTTCGGAATCCAAGGTGAAATTTCGTAATACCTTTGACCCGGGAACCTTGAGATGGACCATCTTGTTTTAACATTTGCTTTTCACGTTGCAGTTAAGACCCAGTATTTAATCGTCCATCAGCATTTCATTCACCAAGTCGTGAACAAGCTTCTCTGGTGACTTTTCAACATTAATTTTTGGGCAAGATTAAGGACGAGATCGATCGTATACCCAGAGCTGCAGGCCTTTCTCAAAGACAATAAATCCATGAAAAAATCGGCGAATAGGGTTGGCGAACAACACTTCACACACGTATACACTGAGCTGAAGAAACTTTTGCCGGAAAGTTTTCGACGGAAATATGGTCAGCTCATTTACCACAAGAATATCACGCCCGTGGTGATGATCACTGGTGGTGGCTTCTCGCCTAACAAAGTAATCCACCTATCACTTCGATTGGTTTCCAGTGATCTGTCCTGCTGCGAGCGTGTGAAATTGGGCTCCTATGCATGCGTGTATATATCGTTTTGAAGTACTTGCCGAGACTTTCGGCGCTGAATCAGTAAGATCATGAGATGTATTGAATAGGTCATCTTCGATAGCCTTCATCCATTTCCAAACCATCTCTTCGTTCGGGACGTCGGGAAATTTGAACTTTGGTCTCGCTAACCGCTTTCAAAAGTTACGGGTAAGGCCTTCACGCTCGACTTTTATCCGGTTAGACTCAAAGTATTTATTCCGCCAGCCATTAACATTCATAGATACCGAATCATCCTGCTCTTCACTCATCGCCTGCTTCAACTCCTTCGAAGCCATTTGAGTCCCACCGCATGTTCCTACAACTCGCCTGAACATTAATTTGGCGGCTATAATGATAATCTCTTCGTCCATAACTGACATACTTGACACAAAATTGTCGACGAGCCACACAAATATATTCCAAAACACAAGGTCGGTCACATGACGCGATATCCAGATGGTTATTGGTTTGAATGGAGATTAAGATAATGTAGATTGAATCTGACTGATCATTGTGTTCAATTGAGAGTAGAGATTGTTTCTCTACCTTGATATCATGATATTATTTTTGACGCAGATGATATTTTGATCAATCACGCTGTCAGATGGATTTTGACATTTACTAACATCTGTTGTATTGATGATAATTCCTCCATTAAGGATGGTGAAATATATACTGCATAAATTGCGGAAACTGTGTTAGATATCCTTTAAAAATTCCTTAGCAAGATGTGCTTCAATATCGAGACTGAGAGATATGATTTATGTTGGAGATATCGCGCATTGGAATGGGTACAATATTCCCGGAACGAAAGAAGAAGTTGATTATGGGTGTATCATATTTAGGTTGCTCATAGAATTATGGGAGTTGTGCGGTTTAAGTACAAGTGTAAGCGACACAGCCTAGGGCACAAATAACTCATCATGTGAAATTGGAATATGCTAAAGCACCTTCACCCCTCCCATCCCCACTCTCACATGCAAAGCTTGGAGCTTGGTTTATGGGGGATCTTTTCCCTAATGGGGCTCTATCTCTTGAAAGAAGACAGGCAGTTGGGACGCGAAGCAAGACAGAGAAGGGGTCACTAACTGGTACGTTGACTTGTATTTTTTGTGGGGTTTTCGACGTTTGAAAGTTTGTGGGCGACCAGTCAAAATTATTGATTAATTAGCCAGGACCTCTATCGTCGATGAGTATACGGCACTCCCTTGTACCCAAGATGGCACAAAAGAAGTTGGGCTAAACTACTTCACAGCGAATACCCTCAGTAATGACCTTTCTGAAAATTTACCACGAAATCCGGGGAAGAGTTAATTGAAAAGAGCAACAAAAGAGTAATATAAATCGAGGGGCTTGTGCTAAACCACAAAACTTTGATTTTATCTGACCCGATTAGTTGCCCCATAGATCCATTTAGATATCTACAAACTCTAATATTTACATATGAGGAAACCATCGTTGTACAGTCCCCTCAATTTCTCAAGGTGTCTAGACTTCAATGCCGTATTACCTGTGGGAAGTGCACTAACAGCGTTATGTCCAACGTGTATTCCGCCCTCTTCCTCGCTGCGGGTAGAAGTTTGTCTTCATTCTAGCCTCTTCGCCTCTCTTATCGTGGCATCGAGTCGGAAGTTATTTACTTGTTCGAGCTACGTTTTTATCTTAATTCCTACCCAGTGATCATATCGATTAGAGATGTCTCCTTAGACTGTTGGCACTGATCCAATCTTCATCCAAGTTACATCTATCCTGTTATCCTTGATAGATGCACTAGGTTATTCATCAGAGCTTCAAATGACCGAGTCTCTGCCTTCCCCACGTATCTCACGTGTAGGCACCTCACACATGCTGTTCAAAATTATGGGCCCAAAAATGAATTTATATTTTATCTGATAGTGTATACGATGTGCGTGCGCTTTCCCATGACACTAGCGTGCTCCTGTTCACAGCGGGATCCGAATACTTGTAGATATACATACAAGGCTACAGCCTGTAACACCTCCACCCTTGTTGTTGTAAGACAAGACGGAGGTTTAGATGTTATGGCTTCGCGTGTGACTCAATGCCACAGCATATATCACTTGTAAATTGGTTAGGCGAGGATGTAGAGAGTCTCATAGATGTACCCACAATAAATGGCACATGTCTACAGTGCCTCTAGATTACAAAATGTTAGGCTTGAAACTGGGCTGTTTAAGGGATTAGCCCAGCCGGCAAAGACGAATTCTTCACCTTCCAGTGGTGCCGGTGTAATCGCTCAGTATGCTCTGCATATCTGGGATAGCCAAGAAGAATCGCATCCGAATCGAAGTCGAAAGCAAACACATGTATATCTCCATTTGACGACTTCTCAACCATGCAGCACTCATCATTATCTTCTGAGTCCTCAACCCCGATCTAAGCACATATCAACTCGCCTCGCCGACCGATAGAGGCGTCACCCTAACTGCAAACAGGAGCTTGCCTCATTCATTACCGGCCATCACTCTCTACATATTTACGACGCTATTTATACCCGCAAGGAGGAAATCAAGTCGAAAAATACAAAGTTGGGGTCTTGGTTTATGGGGGACTGCTGCTCTAATGGGGTTATAAATCTTGAGGAAGAACAGGCAGCTGAGATGTGGAGCGAGAGGAGAAAGAAGACTCTGAAGACTGTGTTGGGACTGACATTTTCGAGGAGTTTCCAACTTTGGATTTTTTGTGGGCGCCAAGACTAAGATTTCGGCTAATTAGCCAGGAGGGCTTCTTTTGTCGATGAGTCAACGGCACTCCCCAGCGCCCTGGACGGTACAAAAGAAGTTAGGCTAAGCTACTATACAGCAATCACGCTCTGTCAAGACTTTTCTGACATTTCAGCACGACCTTCGGGAAGGAGTTGGAAGGAGGCTAGAAAGGCAGAGGGTGAATTTTCCGAGGTACACACAAGTCTGCAGCGCCCAGCTGGCCGGCCTCTTCGAACGCTTCAGAAGGGGCAATATGTCTTCGGATTTATTCCTAATGTCGGTATTAGAAGAGCCCCGCACCCAGTGGTTTTTGCGAATTTTCCCGGCTGCCATACACCCGCAAATGGCCATCGTTTCGTTGGCTGGAGAGGGGAGATAATGAAGGGCAAAGGGCTCCTCTTAGTGTATGATCGAATGAGGACTTGTGAGGGGTGGTACTGTTTGAGGGGAGCTGTATGGGAGGCATAGGAGGGGATATACTACTGGTATAGGTATCCTTGGCCTGTAGGCAGAGAGGACCTGCATGTCCTACATAGTCATAGACTCAGACAGGACAATAAAATGAATTAATAATAATAAAAGGGATTAGCCCTGTAGGTGCAGTTCGACTAGCTCGCAATAGGTTAGACTGTCTCTTCTTGTTACCCCGCTTACCATGAAGTATGGTCAACTCGTGTTCTTCTAACAATCGCTTGGAGAAACATATTATCAACGACACTCTTGACTGCCCAACCAACATAGCCTCTAACTCTTAACATCACTATCAATTCATCCTCTATCCTAGCAAACAATGTCTCTCGAAATGTCTGCTCCAGATACTAAAGTTTGCAGGCATCTAACTCGCGATCAATGTATTGAAATAAGAACATTAAGAAGACTTAGCTTGACACAACAACATATATCCGACGAACTTGGCTTCACAAGAAGGCAAGTGCAACTTGCATGTGCTCAAGAGACTGAGACTCCTATGCCTCGCAAAGGACCCCTACCAAAATTATGTGCAGAACAAGTTGATGAGCTTGAGGCTTTCGTCCGGTAATCTCCTGAAAATCGACAGATGTGCTATTTGGAACAAGCAATGGGATCCTACAGCCAATCGGGATGCAATGAGCATTAACTTTCAAATGCCCTCAATAAAATGGGTTGCAGCAGATGCTTTGCTCGGAAGAAGCCTCTGTTAAGTGTGGTCAACATGCATAAAGGATGTATAGCGGTGTTAAAGGAAAATAGAGCGTACACAAAGTATTGGGACGGAGCAGACTAATACAAAACTTGTAGTAGGCTTTCAATTTAGTTGCGAGCCACACTGAGGGCTTCGATGTAGATTATAGTAATACAGAGCAATTATTTTTTAAATAGATGTGCATTTTTAGATAATATCAATTGATTTTTTTAAATTTTTTATTTTAAATGAGGATAATTGTACTTTTCCTTTGGTGTCGAAAACCATCCCCATAATTGAGACTTTCACGGAATATCATTGGTTAGTACCCCTGCTTGCATAACTAGTCGATAAACTAGACATGGGCCTGCATGAAGACCATACCAATTAAGGCAATATGTACAGGGATCTAGCCCCAGTCATTTTGACAATTGTACTATTACATCCCATAAGAGACTTTTTTTTTTTTTTTTTTTTTTTTTTTTTTGCATCAGATTTTAATTGCGTATGCAGCTATCTAGCTATGACACAATATCAAAGAAAAGTACAGAATAGATGATTCAACGTAAGGGAAGAGCACTCATGCCTCGGATTTCATTTGCAAGTACCACTGCGAAGTTATGGTGGCTTTTTCTTCACCCCAAGTCAACCCTCATCCGTGAATACCCACCCAGGGGAACGTCTCAAAAACCCTGAGTTATCCAGACATGCCTCCGTCATCCATCAACTTTTCTCCGCGCGAAATGTAATCTTAGATGTCTCCTTCCCAAGTGGAGTAGGTGCCCAGGCTACTCAAACCATACCAGAGAACATCACCAGGAGGCGGACCACAACACCTTCCATCGTTTGCTTGTTTTTATAGTGTCAGCTGCACTCTCGCAAGCGAAGTCTTGGCGCGCACAAAGCTCAATTCGTAAAACTCTTGCCAAAATTCAAAATTCCACGCCCGTCGAAAACGTATCCCTCTTCTGCATCATCTTGTGAACTTGTCCTAATCCCTCTCACGTCCTACCCAAAGAGCTATCTCCCAGATTTGTGCTCCACGTTTTTCTTCCTCCGTCGGGTATAAATATCGGCGTGGGCGTGTATTTGGTGACCGGCTGAGGCCAGAGAAAGTCGACGAGAGGTGTGGTCATTGAAACGAGGATGTACTAGGTCGTACTTGTAGACTTGATGAAGCTTAGTTGAGAATCGGACTCTTTGGGAGTGAAAGATTGACATGGTGGAGTAATTTGAATTTTTGCCTCGTGGGCCAACTTCTTTGATATTGCGAAATTTGACTGAACTTGGCTCTGGAAGAATATTTCACTCCCAGGTTCGTAGAGGACACCGCGTACAGGTGTTCAGTCTTGCCCTCCCCATAAGAGACTGTATGCTCACAATTTCTATTCTTATCCCTACAGCTTAGTATTGTATGAGTCTATCCACCGTCATCCACTCCTCATAGCTACGCAGTATAATTTCCGCATTGTTCAAGAGCGCAACACCTCCCCCGTTTGGGCCACTCAGCACGTGTCATGACCTTAGCCTTCACATTTGAGGATGGGTATTCACATTGGCATGGTGGATTGTCCGCCTCAGGTATCTTTCTTCTATGCAGATAGGAATTGAGTCAAATGTGCTCGCTTCTTGTCTGCATGACTCTGGTACTTTGAGCTCTACTCAGCTTTTGGTGCATACTCGTAGATATTCCCCTGGTATTCATCCTTGTGCTTCCTATTTTACCGCGTCTGACGTTATTTGATGCCATCCAGACTATGGGATCTGCTGTCGCTCGGGTGTTAGACGGCTACTGCGCTGTTTGACAGCCCCAATTTCTTGGCCATTCTGGAAAAGCTGCGACATTTACTGCCACTTTTACGCTCGTATCATTTTCCTCCCAAATGCGTCCTCAGTCGGCTAAGTCTTTGGACTTGGTTTGGGCGCGTGTATCTTGGCTCTCGATTCTGGGTAGCTTTATCTTCTTGCAGGTAGAGGAAACGGTCTCTTGAACCGACAGGTTCCTCAGTATTTCAGCGTGTTAGGTTCTCCTCTGCTGTGGAAACACTTCTATTGCTAGGGTTAAAGTTTTATGCTAAAGTACCCTGTATCTAGTCGAGTTGTAAGCTCCCGTTTCTGGTTTTAGACGTTTTCCATAAATACGTCCCCGCGGCTTTACACTCCTCTGACTGACACTGCCAGCTGGTCCAGGCGCAGGCCAGATTGGCGACTCTTACGTAAGGGCTGGTCCCACCATGGCGCCATAAACCAGCTTGGGCTTGTGAAAGGTGGTTGCCCACGTGGACTGTAGCCACCTGCTTCGTAAGAGGGTATAGGCTGAACAGCTGCACGCCGTATTCTCTACGAACCTGTGAAATGCTAGTTCATGGCTATATGAGTACAGGCCTCACGTCGCATAAAATGGTAGAGGGTGCCAACCAACAGGGGGAACGTTGTGCTGGCTCAGCTGAGTTGTTTGGGGATAGGGAGAGGGAAGACTATGTAGGTTGATGCACAGATGCTGTTCAGGGAATTTTCCATTTCTTTAGTTAACGAGATTAGTGAGGTGTCTATCCATGTAATATCATAATTGTTGACACCCATTAGATGATATTCACAAGCGTTGGAGTGAAACATACTCACAGAGCCAATTTCAATCAATTTTTGCTACACCAGAAAAGTTGGCTCACGAGGCCAGGTTTCAAGATACTGCGTCATATCAATCATTCACTCTCATCGACACCAGTTCTCACTAAAAAAACATCAAGTTTCCATGGCCACAGCTCTCGTCAACTTTCTCTGGCTACCAAATATTCGCCAGCACCGATATTTCAACCTGCCAAGGACTCAAAGCGTAGCGCACAAATCTGGGAGATGGTTCTTTGGGATAGACGTGAGGGGGATCAGGACAAGCTCACAAGATGATGCAAAGAAAGGATATAACCTCGAAGGGCGTGAAATTATGAATGTTACCAGGGAGGATTAAAAATTGAGCCCTGTACGCGCGAGGAATTCGATTGCTAGAGTGCAGCTGATACTATGACAAAAAGCCAGCGATGGAAGGTGCTGTGATCCGTCTCTTGGTGGTGTTCCCTGGTATAGTTTGAGTAGCCTGGGCACCTACTCCACTTGGGAAGGAGACATCTCAGATTACATTTCGCGCGGAGAAAATTTGATGGATGACAGAGGCATGTCTGGATAACTCAGGGTTTTTGAGACGTTCCCCTGGGTGGGTATTCACGGATGAGGGTTGACTTGGGGGGGAAGAAGAGCCGCCATAACTTCGTAGTGGTACTTGCAAATGAAATCCGAGGCATAAGTGCTCTTCTCTTCAATTGAGTCATCTATTATACACTTCTCTGATACTGAGTCATAGCTAGATGGCTGCATACGCAATTCAAGCATGAGCAAATAAAAAATTCATCCCACCCTTTTCCGTGACCGAATCTCGGCTCTGGGAGAAAATTTCACTCCCAGGTTCGTAGAGGACACCGTGTACAGGTGTTCAGTCTTGCCCTCCATGTGATGGACTCGTCGCACGGTGAAATAAATTATTCATTCTTGTATTCGCAATTACCTTCTGAATATTCACGTGACATTCACACGAAGATCTCTCCAAGTTTTTACAAGTACTGCACAAACTCCATTTGCCATTCTCTTTCTGAGTTTTACTTAAAGACCTGCCCTAGAAATCCCAGAGAAGAAATAAATAGGTCTTAAACTCTGCCTCAACTTTGAGTCTTGCATTATGGATGGATGGTGCGGTATTTCTGAATGGATCTATTAGTAGCATCCCGAGAGTGGCGGTAATACATCAAAGGAGTAATAAGCCTTGGGGACTGGCTGAAAAAATGCAGGTGCTACGCTACACGCAATCATGTAATTAGAGAATTGCCCTGCAAACCTAGTTAGGAAGTAGCAAGTGCGAAGCCAACAGGGCAGTAAGCACTGGCGTCCATGCCTCTAGGTAGTTTAGTGGTTAGTAGGGACCTAAGTCGAGCTTGGGGCCCCGACGGACGAAAAATAGTAAACAAACTTCATTTGCTATGTATAAGCTTTTGTCCATAAATTCCATTCTCCCAGTGTCCATTCGGCTGAGTAAGGCTTAGCCTGATATAACATTACTATTTTGACGTCACAGCACATTGGACGGCTAGTTAGTCCTCCAATTAATAAACCGAAGACTGGGCGAGATGAGGATTCTATAGTGCCGCAAGCAAGGGAACAGCTAGAATTGAGGATGTCAAGGGTTTTGGACCTTATCGGTTGAGGCTGGGAAGGGATTTGCACTTCAGCACGCACGTAGTGACTTCCAAAATGGTTGCACTTGAAATGATCGGAGATGCAGATAAAGTCAGAGCTAAGCCGCAAATTTACAGGGAGCGAGGTATTATTACTTCACGCCAGTCGACCTGAAATAGCCCTGGCTTCTAGAGAGTTATGGGTGATTTTTAGATTCACCGAATTTTCAATCACCTAGTTCGAACCCTCCAGACGGGCGCAAAGTTGCGGGGAATAATAATTTTTTGAAGACGAAAGACATTTCATGTACCGAATCCGCTCTGATTTACAAGATTAGTGCATGATGTCATCGAAATCCTACATGATAATGACCGGTATTCCGTCGGCGTATTCCGGGCTTCACGAATAGCAACCAAGGTCTGGAGCCTACATCTACAGGCCAAGTTACAACTACCCGCTGCGACTCATGAAAATAGAGACTATAGATATTTGAAAGTGGCAGGCTATGACAAAACTAGATTCATGGCTTCTGGGGCAGAAAGACGTTCTTCAGTGTTTTGGAAGCACGACTACCGGCACATCTTTACCACTGGTAGCGTCCCTACTCAAGCTCGAGCACCACTAGCATTACGATCTGTCTCGTACACCTAGCATGCTGACATAAAAGTCAAATTTCGATTATATATCTCTATCATTGTAAGTGCTATATTTCTGGATGAAAATTGAAGATAAGTCAAGAGATTTCGGTAGCTCATCCTGGCGAACGCAATCCAGGAAACAAAATGAGTCATTTGCTGTCCAACGGTCAATCTTAACTGCATGTAGAAAATTTAAATAAACGTGATTGCAATAGGAGAGATGACAAAGCGGAATGGTCTCAAATCTGCAGCAACATTGAGTCTAAAAGAGGATAGGAGGACGAAGGCTGATCACTTATCAGTGGTGTCCTCTACGAACCTGGGAGTGAAATTTTCTCCCAGAGCCGAGATTCGGTCACGGAAAAGGGTGGGATGAATTTTTTATTTGCTCATGCTTGAATTGCGTATGCAGCCATCTAGCTATGACTCAGTATCAGAGAAGTGTATAATAGATGACTCAATTGAAGAGAAGAGCACTTATGCCTCGGATTTCATTTGCAAGTACCACTACGAAGTTATGGCGGCTCTTCTTCCCCCCCAAGTCAACCCTCATCCGTGAATACCCACCCAGGGGAACGTCTCAAGAGCCCTGAGTTATCTAGACACGCCTCCGTCATCCATCAACTTTTCTCCGCGCGAAATGTAATCTCAGATGTCTCCTTCCCAAGTGAAGTAGGTGCCCATGCTACTCAAACTATACCAGGGAACACCACCAAGAGACGGATCACAGCACCTTCCATCGCTGGCTTTTTGTCATAGTATCAGCTGCACTCTAGCAATCGAATTCCTCGCGCGTACAGGGCTCAATTTTTAATCCTCCCTGGTAACATTCATAATTTCACGCCCTTCGAGGTTATATCCTTTCTTTGCATCATCTTGTGAGCTTGTCCTGATCCCCCTCACGTCTATCCCAAAGAACCATCTCCCAGATTTGTGCGCCGTGATTTGCTTCCTTGGGCGGGTGTAAATATCGGCGTGGGCGTGTATTTGGTGACCAGCTGAGGCCAGAGAAAGTCGATAGGAGGTGTGATCATTGGAATGAGGATATACTAGGTCATACTTGTAGACTTGATGAGGCTTGGATAGGATTCGGACTCGTTGGGAGTGAAAATTTGACTTGGTGGAGTAATTTGAATCATTGCCTTGTGGGCCAAATTGTTCGATATCGCGAAATTTGACTCAACTTGGCTCTGAGAGAATTTTTCACTCCCAGGTTCGTATTTTTTTTTTTTTGCATCAGATTTTAATTGCGTGTGCAGCTATCTAGCTATGACACAATATCAAAGAAAAGTACAGAAAACCCAGGTTCGTAGAAGACACCGCGTACAGGTATTAAGTCTTGCCCTCCGTGTCCTGGGTCAGAGAGGAGCCCAATTTGCAGGATAGTCATAGACTCAAGTAGTACAATAACACACACAAGGACCTACAGTGAAGCCTTATCCAAATTAACTAAATTTGGTCGCATTTCACGTGATCGTATTAGCGAAAAATCACCACTAATTAGTTTACATCCACTGATGCACAACGAAATGGACAAACTCACGGCTCACATGACTTTGATACTGTAAACTGTTCTAGATATCTCAAAAGTCTATACCAAAAAATTGCTGTTCTCGAAATATTTTCTTCGAAAGTTCGCGGGGCCAACAAGAACAATCCAGATGTCTAAACTAGCAACGTGGGCATACTTAACCTCCTCGGCTCACTTTCCCGTACTAACAATTTCCTAGTCGTCCTGACTGGGCTGATGATGAGGAACTTGACGACCGAATTGATGAGCAGCTACCCGCGACGACAACTGCCACAAATAAAGACGGCACTCAAACCATAGTTAGTTACCGAATCAATGACGATGGCAAAAAAGTCAAGTCGACCCGCCGAATCCGATTTATCACGCACAAAGAAGTTGTGAACCCTCGAGTTGCTGAGAGAAAACAATGGTCAAAGTTTGGATTATCCGCAAAAGATGGTGCAGGACCTGACAGTTCCACGACATCGATCGGGGAAAATATAATTTTCCGACCAAGCACCAATTGGAGAAAAGATGCCAAAGAAGAGAAAACCGAAGCTGGAAGTATGAAAGATAAACTAAAAGACAAGAAAGTAAAATGTAGAATATGTAATGGTGAACATTTCACAGCACGCTGTCCATTTAAAGATACTATGGCGCCGGTCGGAGAAGAGAACGCAGTTGAGGCCTCTGGTGGAGCTTCAGATTCTCCCGAAGGACCAGGAGCTCTTGGAGCCGGCAAGGCATCTTATGTTCCACCTCATATGCGGAGCGGTGCTGCTGCCGCAGCAGGAGACCGGATGGGTGGAGGTAAATATGATCGCGATCGCGATGACGCTACACTTAGAGTTACAAATGTAGGCCCAAATTTCTCCACTTTCAACTCGGCGAATACTGAATATTCTAGGTTTCGGAAATGGCAGAGGAGCAGGAATTACGCGATATGTTTGAACGATTCGGACGTGTTACCAGAGTATTTCTCGCCAAAGATCGGGAAACAGGAATGGCCAAAGGATTTGCGTTTATTAGTTTCCAGGAAAGAAGCGACGCGGCAAAGGCTTGCGAAAAAATGGACGGTTATGGGTTCAAGCATCTCATTTTGCGAGTTGAATTTGCTAAAAAGGCAGCCTAATCATTACAACACAATTATAAAATACTTGCCAAAATTCCATTCTCCAAATAAACTTCGGTTTATTCGCTCAAAAGATAGAAATATCAACTCAGAGTGTGATTTGTTCCTAGCAGCTGATTACACAGTGTGGATTCATCTAAAGCTTCTCCAAATTTCTTGGGATTGGTATTCTAGCAAGGTTTAGAGTAGCAGCTTAACACAGCCTGGTGCGAAAGAGATTGTCTACTCTACATTCAAAGTGAAAGGCTAGTATTTGTTCATTCCCAAAGAAGCAAGCTGTACTCATGGAGACAAAGTTTATCTGTTTTAAAAACTAACATAATTTTGCGCTGTGCAAGACAGTGGTTAAGCCGCTGATCGAACTGCTATTTGAATAGTTGATCATTCTAGAAGTAAGGCCGTTCAGCGCATGAGGCTCTACACTGGGACTATTAAATTAGATCCCATCACTAAGTTTATGTTAAGCTCTAGAAAAACTAGCTAATTCTCTCATCAATCATAGAATGATAACAGATAAACTACACTTTTACGCATAAGGATTAGATCGATATTAATCAATAATATAGGCCGCGTAGGATCCTATTTCAACAGCTACAGAACCTAGCATAGAAGAACCAAAGCTGGATTTCTGTTGGCGGTGTTCTCTATCGGAAAATGCACTCCTTTCGATATTACACGTGTCGGTAAGCTAGGATATGGTATTCTAATGTCATGGCTTCTCTCACTCTCATGAATATCTACACTAGCGCCGTGTTAGTGTTCGATTATGTAGAGCCCTAGTTCTGAGCACAGACCATCTATCGAACACCTTTTGTGTGTGTGTTTATTTTGCTACTTGACTCTATGACTATTTAGCACATTGGACTCCACCCTGACCCATGACGCAACTTGTACAGTTCTCCTTGCCTCTCGTGTTTCTTGAAAGATCAATGATACATTGCCCGTGATGAATAGCCATTCAGCTTAGTGTTTACCCGTGGAATTCGGCCACCTTTTCCACGGAACCTTCTATAAAAAAAAAAAAAAAAAAAAAAAAAAAAAGGTAGCAATGGAAACTGCGTGCGCGGGAAAAAGTCTCAAAAAACCTGCAGCCCAAGCCAGGCGAGGCCTAGACACCGGGACCACATGAGGTGCGCATATTCATCTATATCTCCCTTCTTTGTAACAGTCGAGGCCGACTTGATCCAATCCACCATCTCCGTATCGGGTGCTGGGTACGCTCCGGAAACTCATCGGATGGCTTTTCCTCCATGATCAAGGGTTGGTGATGAGTAGGGCTCCGACCCTACCATCTGATCTAATCGTGGTTAGCTTCATGATAATGGTGATAGGGGAATGTGTTCAGAGATGAAGACGATACAGACCGCGAAAGCGATTGGGAATCCTCATCGAAGTGAGTACTTTTTTGCTCAATATAGGCTCTGCAGACTCTACAGTGAGAGCTGGAGGTTCGTAGAGGACACCACTGATAGGTGATGAGAATAGTCGCCCACGCTTGTTCTTGGTTCTCAGCGATTAAAACTTGTTCATCACTGCCTGTGAAGAATAAGTTCTCCCTCGGTCGAGCGTCCGGGCGGCCGCTTGATTGTCCAGCAGAATGTGTAAGAAATTGTCAAGGATTTCTAGTAGGAAATATCTCGAAGAACAAGTTTACAATTTCGGACAAGAATTTATTCATAGTTGTATAGGATATCGATCTCTCTTCTCAATATGAATTAATTATATGTAATATTCCGTTAACCTAGTTTAACACTTACAAGTAAGTCTATGCTTTTTTTTTGCATCAGATTTCAATTGCGTATGCAGCTATCTAGCTATGATACAATATCAAAGAAAAGTGCAGAAAAGATGACTCAACTTTCAAGATGAGTAGACATGCCTCAGAATTCATTTAAGTCTATGTTTAAATACAGATCCCCAAGGTTTTAGTGATCCCGAACTCCTAGAGATCTAGCAACAACCAACCACTCAATTATTGTAAGGTGGCATTTGTTAGCCACTACATTTCAGACACCACTGAACCGAATGTCGCCCAGCTAAGCTTAACCATATGCAATCGGATCCATTGAATTGATCTTGATGATCATACTTAGAAACCTAAACCTTCATACATACTAAGTCTAGATTTCCAACAGAATGCGAATCTGCAGGTCTTCTCCCACCATTAGTGCGCCGGCAAAGACGAATTATTTACCTTCCAGTGGTGCCGGTGCAGTGGCTCAGTATGATCTGCATATCCGGGATAGCCAAGAAGAATCGCATCCAAATCAAAGTCGAAAGCACTCACAAGCACATCTAAAATCGACGACTCATTTTCAATATCTGACCCATAATTCTCACGCAAATCCTCTACCTCAATTTTACTACACCACCTCGCCTCAAATACCGGTAATGGCGTTACTCCAATTGCAATCGGGCATTTGCCTCATCAAAAACCGGCTATCTCCCACTACAAATTTATGACGCTATGTATACCCGCAAGGAGGAATTCAAGTCATAATCTACAAAACTCGGTTCTTGGTCTATGTGGGACCGTTGCTCTAATGGGGCTTCACATCTTGAGGGAGAACAGGCAGCTGGGACGTGGGACGAACGAGTGAAGAGGTAACAAATCGGTATACTGGAACGCACATTTTTCGAGTATTTTCGACTTAAGATTGTCTGTGGGTGCAGAAGCAACGATTTGGGATAGTGCTACCGACACTCTAAAAACAGGCAACGATGAAAGGTGTTTTGGTCCGCCTCCTGGTCATCTCCCCGAATTAAATTCTGGGTAGCCTGGACACCTACCCCATTCGAGAAAGGCAGGACTATGAGGCCATATCTCGCGCAGCGGCTATATTCAAGATGACAAAGACCTGTTAGGGTAGCCAAAGGTTTTTCCTGTTTTCCATTTGGTGGATATTAACGGCTGAGGTAAGGGTGAAAGTCCCTAGCACCAAGGTCTCGAGTAGTCCAAATTTCAAACTGAATTATTGTCGAATATAGTCGTTGAGGAAGGACTAGCCTTCTCCGATTTATGCTCTTTGAGTGCAGGGCTTGTGCCCGTCACGAATAAACCTTCATCCATTCATTAATTCCCACCACTAGTGCAAACACCAAGGCTTTTTTGGCGCCTACAATTTCCGCGTCAGATACCTCTGCTTCGGGAAGTTCTCCCGAATCACTTCCTGCTAGCTTGACAGTGTACATTACGTTTGATTAATTTAACTTCGTACCAGTGCATAGCTCATAATCATTGTCACGAACCGGGCGGCTCAGTCCCTACAGAACTTGCCGACGCCCTACGGCACCCAGAAAATACAAAAGAGTCCGACCAGCTGTCCACTACGCCCCAAGTGACGAAATCATATATCACCTACGACTTGTTACCGTCATATAATTCTTTCTCTTACTCATGCCTCCCCAGTCCTCCGCAGAGGTTGGCCTTTGGCCTCCCCTCCCACCCGTAAATTCGACGCGTCCTGACGTCGAAATGGTCCTTAATGGGCCACAACCGCCATCTCGCCTACCCACGCAACAATTTATAGAGCCAATCTACCAAGCGAGTCATCAAAACTCCTTCGCCTCCAACTGTCGCGACCGAATTCCTCGCCGAACAGGGCAGGATATTCCAGACGCGCTCTGCACAAGCGGAGCGCTTTATCGTCGGGTTCTATAAGCTGCTGGAACTAGTCACTGACGAGAGACTTCGAAAACTCTTTGATCAGGACTTACAGGCCCTTCAGGGCAAGATCTTGGAAATTCTGTGGGGAAACCCATCCCAAGCAGACGCCTATGCTCCCCTAAAAGCTGCAAGTGGCCATGCAAGCTCATCCCATCCAGCTCAAGTTACAGAGCCTCCAAAACAAAACCTTGGAAGCGTCACACGTCCAGTGCTGATGATTTCCAGAGAAAAGTGCAGACCGGCACCATCAAGGCCGTCAGCCACAACAGCAACTCTCCAGTCTAATTAGGGCTCGAACAAAACCAACAACGACACCATAGAGAAATCTTGGACCGGGGTGTTGGGAAAAAGGAACAAGCCAGCGAACTAAGCGGCTCCAACTTCTACATCCAAGACGGCACTAAAGATGCCTGTCTCCACGCTGACGCCTAAAGCACCAGCAACAAACTCCCAAAGACTCGACGAGCACATTTTCTTGCGCCTCAGACCTGACCACCCGTTGAGACGTATGTCGCCTCACTTCGTAACAATAAGCCTGGCTGGCAAGCTGCGTCTAGCCAACTCGACAATTAAACAAGTCACTGTCGTGAACTCAGGGCTCGCAATACAAGCCGAAGGGGAAGGTGCAAGAGGTGCACTTCTCTCAGGAGGAGCCATCTTAGATAGCTCTGAAATGAAATTGGAAGCCACCTCCAATTGGATCTCAGTTCTGGCACCGAATATCCCAGACAAGTTTAACACTCTGGAAGGGCCAACCCCAGTAATACTAGAGGTGTCAATAGAAGAAGCAGCTCTCAAAACATGAGTTAGACCAACCTCAGCTTGTGCTTTCGCAACCAATATGGCCAGGCCGTTAACGGACTGGGTGATGCACTTTGCAACAGGAAAACCGAAGCTTGGAGAAAGACTATTCGAAGAAAGCGGATGCCTTTACGAACTTCAGCGCAAGCTCAAAATTGCGCATTGCAACCAATGCTGTAGACACCACCTAACTAAGATTTTCTCACGAGCAGGGCGCTGCTCCCGCTGTGGCTCCACTGATCCAGAGCCACTAAGTACAAACAGCTCGTTCCAAGGTGCATCAATTGTCATGGGCCACATGCCGCAACTGAGCCTAGCTATATGGCAAGGCTGACGCAGGCTAGCGGGAAGACTGTGCAAGGTAAAAGAGACCAGCTGTCAGTAATCCTTGAGCAGGGTCGAAATGAAAGAAATACTTAGATCTGAGAGATGGAAGCAAAGCAGAAAGCTGCTGAGGCGACTGCTGAAAGCGAATCTTCAAACTTCACTTAATGCCTGTAGGGGACCAAAACCTTACAGACCTCCACACAAC